TGATCGATGCTCAGAAGAAAAAGAAGGAGGTGCAGGATATTCCAGTGGTGTGTGATTATCCGGAAGTCTTTCCCGAAGATCTTCCCGGATTGCCCCCTGATCGACAAGTTGAGTTTCGTATCGACTTGTTACCAGGAACGACGCCGATAGCAAAAGCACCGTATCGATTAGCACCAACCGAAATGAAAGAACTTATGACACAACTTCAGGAGTTATTGGACAAAGGTTTCATTCGACCTAGTTCATCACCCCGGGGAGCCCCTGTGTTATTTGTAAAGAAGAAAGACGGGAGCATGAGAATGTGCATCGATTACAGAGAGCTGAATAAAGCGACGATAAAGAACAAGTATCCGTTGCCGAGGATCGATGACCTGTTCGACCAATTACAAGGTTCGAACTATTTCTCGAAGATCGATCTTAGGTCTGGATACCATCAACTGAAGGTGAGGGAGCAGGATATCGAAAAGACTGCGTTCAGAACAAGATATGGACACTATGAATTTTTGGTTATGTCGTTCAGATTAACCAATGCCCCAGCAGCTTTCATGGATTTGATGAACAGGGTTTGTAAACTATACCTTGATAAATCCGTGATAGTATTCATAGACGATATCTTGATCTATTCGAAAAGCAAGCAGGAGCATGAGAAGCATCTGCGTGAAGTGCTAGAAGTTCTGAAAAAGGAGAAGCTGTATACCAAGTTCTCCAAATGTGAATTTTGGATTCAAGAAGTCCAATTTTTAGGTCATGTGGTTAACCAAGAAGGAATAATGGTTGACCCAACAAATATTGAAGCTGTGATAAAGTGGGAACAACCAAAAAGTCCTACGGAGATTAGAAGCTTTTTAGGATTAGCTGGATATTATCGAAGATTTATCCAAGGCTTTTCTTCGATCGCTACTCCATTAAAAGCTTTGACCCACAAAGGAGCTACTTATGCTTGGAATGAGAAGCATAAGGAAGCCTTTGAGAAGTTGAAGAAGAGACTGTGTGAAGCACCGATTCTTTCGTTACCTGAAGGAGTTGAGGACTTTGCAGTCTATAGTGATGCCTCTGGAGTTGGGTTAGGATGTGTTCTGACCCAAAGGGATAAAGTGATCGCGTATGCCTCGAGACAGTTGAAAGAGCATGAAAAGAACTACCCCACTCATGATCTGGAGTTGGCAGCGGTAGTATTCGCCTTAAATATATGGAGGCATTATCTTTATGGTACTAAGTGTAAACTTTTCACTGATCATAAGAGTCTTCAATATCTCTTTAATCATAAGGAATTGAACATGAGACAGCGGCGCTGGCTGGAACTACTCAAGGACTACGACTGTGAGATACTTTACCACCCTGGTAAAGCAAATGTTGTTGCTGATGCTCTCAGTCGGAAGGTAAATCTTGAAAAGAGAAGGCCAAGAGCGTTGAAGATTGAAGTTGTCTCTACAATTGTGGAAAGTATAAAGAAAGCTCAGGAGGAAGCTTTAGAAAAGAATGACCGGAAGGAGGAACGTTTGGGTAAAACGTTGGTGTTTGATACAAACGGTCAAGGATTGAAGGTATTCAAAGATAGGATTTGGGTACCTAATACGGGAGGAGTAAGAGGTCTTCTGATGGAAGAAGCTCACAAAACCATATACTCGATTCATCCCGGCAGTACGAAAATGTATAGGGACCTAAAACCCTATTACTGGTGGCCGACGATGAAGCTCGATGTTGCTAAGTATGTGGCTGAGTGTGTAACTTGTGCTAGGGTTAAGGCACAACATCAAAAACCGTATGGGAGTTTAGAACCTTTACCTGTACCCATGGGTAAATGGGAAGATATCACTATGGATTTTGTGACTAAACTGCCCAAAACCAGGAACGGTCACGACATGATTTGGGTGGTCGTTGATCGCTTCACTAAGAGTGCGCATTTCATAGCCGCTAACGAGAAATGGTCTATGGATAAACTTGCGAATTCTTATGTGAAGGAAATTGTGAGGCTACACGGTGTTCCGTTAACGATTGTATCCGATCGTGACAGTCGTTTTACCTCAAGGTTTTGGAGAAGTCTACAAGAGGAATTGGGTACTAAGTTGTGTTTGAGTACAGCTTACCATCCGCAAACCGATGGTCAAAGCGAACGAACGATTCAAACATTGGAGGATATGCTGAGAGCATGTACCCTAGAATTCCAAGGTAATTGGGACGAACACTTACCTTTAGTAGAATTTTCCTATAATAATAGTTTCCACTCGAGCATCAAAATGGCACCTTTTCACGCTTTGTATGGAGAAAAGTGTCGAACGCCATCATGCTGGCTGGAAGCTGGGGAAAAGCAGTTTATGGGACCTGAGATAGTCCATCAAACTGCTGAAAAGTTGAAAGTGATAAGGGAAAGGATGTTAGCTGCTCAAGATCGACAAAAGAGTTATGCTGACAAGAAAAGACAACCGATATCCTTCGATGTTGGAGATTCGGTTTTACTTAAAGTCTCGCCGTGGAAGGGACTTATAAGATTTGGTAAGAGGGGAAAGTTGAGTCCAAGGTTTATTGGACCATTTAAAGTTCTTCAGATGATCGGGAATCAAGCTTACAAGCTAGAATTACCGGAAGAACTGGAGGGTATTCATAACACATTTCATGTGTGTTATTTGATAAAGTTCACGGGAGATGTGCCTGACATAATTCCGATTTTTGAGTTAAGGTTGGATGAAAACAAGAGGTTGATCGAAGAACCTGAGACAATCGTTGACCGTAAGACTAAGAAATTGCGACGTAAGATGGTCGATTTAGTGCTTATGCGTTGGAAACATACGAATGGGCCAAATCTCACCTGGGAAACGGAGAGTGACATGAGGAGTCGCTACCCGCATTTGTTTGCTGATGTGTGATTCCGGGGACGGAATCATCCTAAGGGGGAGAGAATTGTAATGCCCGTGTTTCTAGGCTATGCATTAATATTGACATTATAGTCTAGGTTAACCTTTGTAACTCATTTTGAAGAAATGAAAAGGAATTATGTGAATTTTATGTGTTTTATGCTTAATTATTAGGGCTTGATTAATTAAGAATAAAAATGAGTGTCAAAAATTAAATTTTAGATAAAGCCGATATTTATTAAGAAACTTGTAGTGGCGCGTGACAAGGATTTACTCCTTAAACTTGTTAAACTGTACACATCCAGTCCTTATGACCTGTTACTTCAGGTTAGCCGGGAAAAATGACTTGATATGGTAATGTATTTTTCATTTTGTACACATTTAGTCCTTAATATTTTTGTACATATTTAGTCCTTAACAATTTTTTTTGTTTGAAAATAAGTCCTTTTTTTGTACTCATTCAATACTTATGAATGATTTCTTTAGGGTTTTTTCACGACATCTTACGTGAGACAATCATTGATGAGGTGCTTGGGGTTGTTGATGCTTACGTCCAATGCGATCTCGACTGCTTGGTTGCGTAAGTCTTGTGGTTTGGCTTAGGTCTTGTATTTTGAACATCGTAACTTCTTCATACGATATCAGATTTTAAGGATCTTTATACACGTGTTCATTTTTTGAGTCTACTACAACTTTAATTAAGATTACTCCCGTTAAAATGTAATATATTTTTACTAACGATTTTATAAAAAAAACATACATACATGCATTCATAAAAAAACGTATGGACAGGGGAAGACGCAGTAATACATAGTAGGTGTTGCCGAGATGAAATAGGTGTTGCCGATACATGGAAAATAAGTATAAACGAAAAAAAAAGCGAAAAATTTTCCACTGAGAACAGAAAAAACAGGTGTTGTCGGTGCAACACCGGGACCATACTAAATCCGCCACCGCGTATGGATATAAAAATTGTAAGTAAAAATATATTATTTTTTAAGGGGAGTTATCTAAATGAAAGTTGTAGTAGATTAAAATACGAACGCATGGATATAAAGATCGTTAAAATCCGAGATCATATGAAGAAGTTATGACGTTCAGAACACATGACCTAAGCAACCAAATAGTCGAGATAGCGATGGATATAATCTTCAAAAGCCTCATACACCTCATTAATCAATGTCCCACGTAAGATTTCGTGAGAAAAAACTAAAAAATCATTCATAAGTACTGAATGAGTACAAAAAAATGACTTATTTTGCAAAAAAAAAAAGGACTAAATGTGTACAAAAATATTAAGGACTAAATGTGTACAAAGTGAGAAATATATTACCCTATTAAGTCATTTTTATCGGGTAACCTGGAGTAGCCGGTCATAAGGGCTGAATGTATACAGTTTAACAAGTTGAAGGGGTAATGTGGACGAAAAAAAAACTCAGTGACGAAATGTGTACAAATCGAAAAATATATTACCCTTTTAAGTCATTATCCCCATAATTAGTGGTTGGTTGAATGGTTTTTTAGCAAATTTTATTTAGTTATACAATATTATTTTTAATTAAGATAACTAAATACATCAAAAATTGTATTTTAACTTTCTATACAAATATAGACAATACAAATTTATAATTTCGAATCATAACAAAATTTATGATTAACCTACATACATAACAGAAATATGAAACCACTTGGGTTGTGGTGACTTGGTAAGGCATGTGGAAGATATGGTGGATAACCTATTGACCCATGTTCAAATCCTGGCACTACTCAGCCCTTGTGGCCATGAAGGTTCGCCTGCAGTGACTCCAGGGCATGAGGCAAAGTCTCATGTTTGCAGCGGGAGATTAGTCGGTGCGCGAAAGCTGGCCCGAAAACCCTCGTTAGGAAAGTTCCCTTTCCAAAAAAATATTTCTTATGATTTAATAGTTCATGTATTATGGTTGAGTAGTAAATCGTATCATACTTGATGATATGATTCAAATAATAATAATAACAAACTAAAGAAACCAACTTTTTCTTTCGAAGCCCATATTCAAATGAAATGGGGGCCCAAAATTTACCCCTGATTCACCGTTTCTTGGTCATGGTCATGAAACCCAGAAGGCTGCAGCCGCACCACTCTGCCTGGGTCTGTTGACGGTGGAAGCCATGCTCCGTCTTGGTCGACGATCACTCGCCGCTGTCCGATATTTCTCGGCGACAGCGGTTGCAGAGGCTTCGAAAGTTCCAGCTCCATCCCTTGCCCCTGGTGCCATCACCATCGCCACTAGGAAAAACACCGGTACCGGAAAGGACACCTTAGGTCGAAGTCTTCTTAGCCTGGTTTACACGAAACGCAGTGCCGTTATCACCATAAACAAATGGAAGGAGGAAGGGCACGTTGTTCGTAAGTACGAGCTTAATCGCATAGTACGAGAGCTCCGGAAGCTAAAGCGTTACAAACACGCCCTCGAGGTACTCATATCTCTCGTCTCCATTACGTAATTTTTGCGCATCGGTTCGAATAAATCTATTTGAAGTTTTCACAGTCAATTTAGTATGAATTCTCTTGTATGTCTTTACATTATGATTGATTAAATGGTTATCAGCTTCAGATAGAAGTATCTCTGACATTTTGTAAAGAATAATAGCTTTAATTCTACTGTGGATGTGTTGGTTTTCAGTTTGAAAATTATTTGTATTAAGTTTTTTTTTTCTAACATTAATTTGATTGTTTTGAAGGTTTGTGAATGGATGACTTTACAACAAGATATCAAGTTAGTAGAAGGAGATTACGCTGTTCACTTGGACTTAATTGCAAAAGTTCGTGGTATAAACAGCGCAGAGAAGTTTTTTGAAGATCTCCCATATCAAATGAAAGGGCAGCCAACCTGTACAGCTCTTCTCCATACTTACGTCCAGCATAAAGATTCTTCCAAAGTCGAAGCTTTAATGGCAAAAATGTCAGAATGTGGTTTCTTGAAATACCCTCTTCCTTTTAACCATATGATGTCACGCTACATCTCCAATGACCAATTACAAAAGCTTCCTGGAATTCTTCAGGAGCTGAAAAAGAATACCTCACCAGATATAATAACTTACAATCTATGGTTAACAACATGTAACTCCCAGAATGACATCATTACTGCTGAAAAGATTATTCTTGAGCTGAAGAAGAGAAAGGTGGATCCAGATTGGGTAACATTTAGTCTTTTAACCAGTTTGTATCTTAAAAATTCACGACATGAAGACGCTTCCTTGAGTGTTAAGGAAATGGAGAAAAGGGTTTCTAAAAAAAGTCCGTGTTGCTTATTCTTCAATTATCAGTCTTTATACAAGTCTTGGGAAAAAAGAAGATGTTGATCGCATATGGAAGAAGATGAAATCAACCTTTCGTAAGCTAAATGATGCAGAATATAATTGCATGATATCTTCTATGATAAAGCTTAACGAGCTTAAAGAAGCAGAGAATATATATACAGAATGGGAATCTGTATCTATAACTGGCGATTCTAGGGTTCCAAATTTGATCCTTGCAGCTTACATCAACAAAAACGAAATGAAAATGGCTGAAAACTTTTTTGAAAAAAGGATGGTTGAAAAAGGAATTGTACCTAGTTACACATCATGGGAGCTTCTTACATATGGTTGTGTACATGAAAAGGAAATGGATAAAGTTTTGGAATGTTTCAAGAAAGCTATAGGGTCAGTGAAAAAGTGGGACCCGGATGAAAAGATTGTTAGAAAAGTGTATGGAATGCTTGAAGAATATGGTAATGTCGAGGGTGCTGAACAAGTGTTGGTGACTCTTCGTGATGCTGGTTATGTGAGCACAGAGATATATAAATTTGGTTCTTAAGACGTATGTGAAAGCTGGAAAAATGCCATTAATTGTAGGTGAGAGGATGAAGAAGGATAAAGTGGAATTGAATGATGAAACATATCAACTTATAAAGGTGACAAGTAAAATGTGCGTTAGTGAAGTTTCAACGCATCTTTAGTAGAAAAAAAGGTCTTGCAAATTGGCCTTTTTTACAGTCAAGTTACTAATTTGTATGCCTTAGATTATTTTCATGTAGTTGCTTTAATCCTTTGAAAGAAATGATATGTTTGTGCTCCAAATGTGTATGCATTGAGTTACTCAGGGATTACTTTTTGGAATTTATATGGTGTTTATTATGTGTGAGTTATCTGTATTGACAACAGGTTTACGTGTAATATATATTTTTTGTGAGTAGGAGTAAAACTTACTGTGAGACTTATTTTCAGAGTGTTTGGTAGAATAAAATAGGTTTTATTTTCAGAGTTGCTCTAAGCATATGAAGAAATGGTAGGTGCTCCAGTCCAAATGTGTATGCAATTGAGTAGATGTGATACTTATGATATCTGTGTTAATAAACATACATGATGTTGCAGTGTTTATGTGTTGGGAGCCACATGATAAACGCAAACACATATAATTTGCTTTTTGTTAATATTATATTAATATTACTAGTAAATAATTAAGTACTAAATATAATTTAACAAGCCGACCAATTGTCAACAGGATTTTTCCCCATTCGACATGATCAAAAGACGTACTGTAGAAGGCTTTACGATTGATCTATACGAAAAAGTCCAATCTCTTGAAACCATATGCAAATTCGTATGCAGTAAAATAAATAGAAAAGAAACCACTTTAACCGACATAAAGGGATTATCAACTTATGAATTTATTTTTACCTAAATATGCAAACCTGATTAGACTTTCGATCTCCTATATTTGACAAGGGAAATCAATAAAATCAGACAAATCGAGGGGTGATTGTGGGTCAAAACAAGCACAAAGAAAAAAAATATATAAAACAAAACAAGGAGAAACTTGTGCTTCTATAGTTATAACCATGAACTTATAATTTTTTTTTTAATTTTATTTATTTATTTTTTTGACAAAACAACTTATAAGCTAAATTATCAATAATTTATTTTAAGCTAGTTTATCAATAAATTAGTTTATAAAATACTTCATAAACTATAATAAATTGTTTTTATAATTTTACCATATACTAAATTACAATAAACTAATTTATTATTTACCAAATATGGTCTAAACCAACATTGGATGTTGAGTTTTTAAGTATATATAATATATATATATATATATATATATATATATATATATATATATATATATATATATATATATATATATCTATATATATATATATATATATATATATATAGAGAGAGAGAGAGAGAGAGAGTTAGGTTCAATTGTTTCCAACAAGTATTGTGTGCATGTGTGCACCAATGGGAATTCAGGAAATAATAAATCATATAATAAATTAAAAAAGGGTATAATGGTAAACTTAGTATATTTAATTATGGTAAAATCATAATTCAATTAATATATACCCTAAGTTTAAGGTAACAAACACCGTATATTTATCAATGGTCTTCACACACACAAAAAAAACACACACGTAACCATTGAATCAATATTCTCTGGTAATCATTCACTTTTTTTTTTCAGTCTCGATGGCGATGAAGATGAGAAGGGGCTAGGTCTGCAACTTCATTCCTCACCATCGGTATAAACAAACACACACCGTCGACTACTTGATTTCACCATCACCGTTCTTGTTTTTGTCATTGTGAAACACCGACGCTCCTCCGTCGAACCCTAAATTAAGACAATCACAGGTCGAAACTTCGAATTTGCCACCGTAAACTACCGATTGAAGTTTGGAATATTCCCATCAACACCAGGTAAGCATGTATTTTAAGCAATGTTGGCGGCTTAAGAAATTTTCGTGTACAACCCAATAACCGGTGACTACCCCTGTTATGGTCCAGGTAATAGTTTATGTTTGTTTTTTGGTTTGTAGCAAAATCGATCATAATCTCAAATCAATTGCTCCTCAATCGATACAATATGCCGTTATAACAGTTTCTTTTGTTTTAGGTTTCCTAAGGTTTTAAATTTAGGGGTCGAGCTCTATACCACCATCGACTCAACTTGTTAGGATCTTCCCTTTTGATTGATTCTACTCCAAAGTAGCGATAACATGAATAGGGTGTCTGAAATAGCTTCCATGGATGAACAATGTGTAGACAAATTAATCATATTTTATGTAATATTGAAGGTCTTATTCGCCCTCATCATTTTATCCTGGTCATTGATGGTTACAGGTATGTTATATACACCTGTTTATTTTTTTTTCTTATGGATGAAAGTGTTATGATTTATATCCAAATGAATCAATTTTTTTTTTCTGATATCAGTTCTTTTCAATGTTGCTTGTATTGTTGAATTGAATAATTACTTATATTGTTGTTGTTGTTCCTTTTCAGTTGTTGCATAGAAAGTACAGTGGGAATTTCTTGGTTAATATGTTGGGAAAATGGAAGGAATCTGAATACTCTGAGCAATCTGTTCCAGTTGGTGGTCTTGCTTATTATGTTACTGCACCTTCTCAAGGTAATGACTGACTCCATTCCATACTTCCATTCACATTCCTTGATTTGTGATGATTTATTGTTTGTTTGCATGTGAATATCATCATTAGTTTGGCTGATATGACAGCATGAGGGCAATATTCTTTTAGAATGTTAACCTGAAAATTCTTTCAGAATGAGGGCAAATGAATGTTAACCTGAAAATTCTTTCAGAATGAGGGCAATATTCTTTTAGAATAAAAAGGGCTTTAGTTTGAAGAAGGCTACTATTCTTTCGGAATGAAGAATTTTCAGAATGAAGAAGGGGAATATTCTTCACATATAATCCTGCAAATTGATCAGACCTAGACAACCAAAAAAGGCAGGGAAAGGCTTGAAGAATGGCTTGAAAACCTGATGGAATGCTTGAAGAATGAATTAAAGAATGATCACACTCATTGTTTAAGAATGTTGTTATTTTTTAAGAATTATACTTGTTATTCTTTCAGAATGTTTTGTTATTATTCAATGAATCACAATCATACAATGTAATTATTTGGTATATTATTAGTTCAAGAATCGATTTTGTATATTCTTTCAGAATATATTTACTAGTTTATGGTTTACATTCAGTCATTCTGACGGAATAAAATCGAAAAATATATTTACTGGTTTATGATTAAAATTCTATCATTCTGACAGAATAAAATCGGATTTATAATTTTAAATTAATTTTAAATATTCAGATTTTTAAAAATAAAGGAATTAATTATCCCTAAAAATCCGAAAATTTCCTTTTTTAATATAGGTTAATTGACTAAAATGCCCTTATGCTCAAATTTGTGTGATTATATGGTACATGCTATCCTATTCTACTATCATAGACCCTCAGATCATGACCTTTGATTATATTCCATCTGATGGTCCAGATCTGTGCATTCTGGCACACAATAGTTACTAGAAACAAAATAACCTAACCCTATATATATATATATATTATATATATATATATATATATATATATATATATATATATATATATATATATATTTTTTTTTTTTTTTTTTTTTCTACCAAGCCAAACTAGTCCAGTAAAATCCATGATTTGGTTTGGAACATTATAAACTAAACCGACTTAATTGGCCAACGTTTTACTGTTAAAAAAAAAAACAAACCAAATCATTATGACTTAGACCTTATATGTTAGTTATTTTGTATTGGGGGACCGGAGTGGTGATTCTATTGAACTTTGATAAACGTTATGTGGCAAAACTATGAAAAATATAAGAACTGGACCAACAATATAAATATCACATCTTTAAAACCCCAATACTGTCGAAGCAAAACCCCAAGCCCCAGGTACGACCAACGTCCACAGTCCGTCCACTTCCTTGTGACCCCAGCCGGATGCCGTAATCTTTATCGCCGCTGGTCTAAGCCGTCAATAGTTAATTAACGAGATATAGCTATTACTCGACTGTTTATAAGGACTAGGGTTTACATTTCAAAGAAGTTGCAAATGCAGAGCATCAACCCATGTTTTAGCGACGTTAATTCACTATCCGCTAATTACTTTTCTCTGCAACGTGGATTATGCGTATCAGGTAATTTTGATAATTCCTATTTCTTAATCGAATTTTGTCTTATAATCATGTTCTTGAATTTATATGAATTGTGTTGGGTAAGTGGTATATTAAGACTTATCCTGAGTAGAGGCTGTGATTATATGACGAAGATCAAATTTTTAGAATCGTAAGAACTTAGGATAATTGACCGAGCATTTTCATCATTAAAAAATGTTGAAGATTACTCATGGGGATTTATAAAGTAACGCATAAGTTCTCAGCTTTCTAGTGATTGGGAAAACTGAATATGATTAGGATTTGCTGATTTTTGCGATCAAAATAAACTGATTATTAAAATAATTCTAAAATTATCCAACTATTGAGTTTAAAATCAAATTGTTATCTTATTCTTATGGGTGTAATATGTAATTCCTTTTCTCTGATGAACAGGCAGACATGCACATAGCCTCCAGTTATGGCATGTACCATATGATAGAAAAAGATTTTCCCTCAAGACCACGAATTCAGAACTTTACAAACTACATTTTGGAAATTTAGCAAAACCTTTTCATTCAAGTGAATGCCACAATTCACCAATGTTGATATACAATCAGCCCAAAAGAAGCCATATGAGAATCCATTCAGCATCTGCAGAGTCTCTAAGCCACAAACTTATCGAGCAAACTTCTGAACACGAGTTTGAAGTTAGTTCATATAATCCTGAGAATCACAACCAAAACCCAAATATGAAAACAGATTCCTTATTTTTGCACGTGTTGGTTCAGTCATCAATAATGCTGCTGAATCATTTTTCAAGAGTGAGATAAGAAGGAGATTATTTGTTACTGCTGCATTACTTGTGATTAGTCGTGTAGGATATTTTATTCCTCTTCCTGGTTTTGATAGAAGATTAGTACCAGAGAATTACCTTAGTTTTGTCTCGGGTTCAGTTGGTATGTTAATGATATTTTAATTTTAATCATCATTATCTTTTCTTCCTTTACTTATTATAATTTCATTGTCTGAAATGGCAGAGGAGCTTGGTGAGCTGGCACCAGAACTTAAGCTTTCCCTATTCCAACTTGGAATCAGTCCCCAAATTGCAGCATCTATTGTTATGCAGGTTGATTTTATTGAAATTGAATTTGATTTCATATATATTTAGCTAATTATAGAGTGATTATGGGATCAGGTACTTTGCTATGTTCTTCCTTCATTGGTCAAGCTAAGGAAAGAAGGGTTGGATGCTAATGAGAAAATAAAGGGTTATATGTATGTTTACTCACATTCTCTTAAAAATAGTTTTATGCTATTATTATAGAAAGGTTAATAATCCCATGTTTTTTCTTACTTGATTCCAGATGGTGGATGTCGCTTGGGTTTGCAATAGTAGAGGCACTGATCATTTCTTATTTTTCACTTTCGTATTCGATTTATGCAGCAAATGCAAGTCAAAGGTAATTTCTAGTATTGATTTACACACCTTGGAATTTGCTTATTGTTAAATAAACAGGTCTGATATTTTACTTGCAGATTGAAGCACATCATGTTGACAACAATTTTGTTGGTTTCTGGTGCAATGACTACAACATGGATCTGTGACAAAATATCAGACTCTGGTTTTGGTATGATTTTTTTTTTTTAACAATTTACTGTGTTTTGGGTTCAATTTTCAGGTGTTTGATATAGAATGTATGACTATGATGATGTAGGTCATGGATCATCTTTGCTGATATGTGTGAATATCTTGAATGGCTACATAGAGACATTACATAAAATGTTGTCTCAGCTCTCAGGTGAGTAACATCTTGTTTGTAATTGAAATGCATGAAAAATTGGTATAATATTAAATAAAATTTGTGGTGTAGGTGGCAGTGGATGGTGGCAATATATATTTGGAGTGTCGGGTGTGTTTGTTGTTGTTACTATGTGGGCGGTTGTTGTAACTCAGGGTTGCAGAAAAATCAAGCTGCAATACTATGGCTTCAAACTTGCATCTTCCACAAGGTCATATTGTTTTTTGAATACTTTTGATTTGAGTAGTACAAGTAAAGAATGAAGATTACTAATTTGTGAAATATTTATGTTGTGGACAGAGAAGATTCCCCAGTTACAGAGGTGGAGCAATATATTCCATTCAATATTAATCCATCTGGAATGCAACCTGTCCTCACTACCAGCTACCTATTAGGCTTTCCTGCAATTGTTGCCAGGTTTGATCATATTTATATAATTATAAATATCCAAAAGCATGAAAATATCCAAACATCTTGATTGTGATTGGATCTGTTTGATGTTTGGTTGTTTTGGTGGTGATTTTAATTTAAAATTTGATCCATCAGTTGGAAGATATTGATACATACCCCTGTTTGTGGCAGCTTTTTTAGTTCAAGATTTTGGAGAAATGTGAGAGAGATTCTAAATCCTGAATCATCTCTGGAGCAGCACCATGGGTGTACTATACAGTCTATGCATTCTTTGTTTTCCTTTTCAACATATTTGATATTGTAAGTAAGTAATATTTATTTATGAATATGATGATACAAGGGTGTTTCCGTGTTTGTTTAAACATATATTTGTAATTGACTAATTGACTAATTGTGTTATTATTGTCAGGCGAACATGCCAAAGGAAATTGCAGAGTACTTGAATAAAATGGGGGCAAGGATACCAAATATAAAGCCTGGAAAGGCGACTGTTGAATATTTGACCAAGATTCAAGCTTCAACCCGTTTCTGGGGTATGGGTATCTCTTCTCTCTCTGTCCACACACAAACAAACCTTTCCAGCTAAAATTATGTTATGTGTTTTGTTGCATGGCATAATTAATTAACTGAAACTTTTTTTTTTTTTTTTCAGGTGGTTTGCTGTTGAGTATATTGGCGACATCATCAACAATTCTTGATCATTATCTGCGAAAAAACAAATGAAGGATTTTCGATAGGTTTTACATCTGTTCTAATCATCGTAAGTCTTATTATATAGTTTCAATTTTAGCTCTTAATTCCACATCTTGTTTGTGCAAAATGGAAGAGAAGACAATGACATGACATGACATGTTGTTGGTGACTTGGTGCAGGTGGGTTCAATCATCGAACTAAAAAGATCTTATGAAGCCTACAATGTCATGCCAAGTTTAACCAAAGCTTTAAAGCGATACGGTGTATGATACACACGTAGATTGATACATATTCTACCAATTTAAAACACAAAAAGGGAAGCAGCATGCATATTGTCTTATTGCCTTATTGCATGATGGATGATGATGTGTTGCAACAAAGGGCTCCACTCTGAGCAGACAATAAAAAAAAAACAAAGTTTCACGTCTGGGATATGAACCATTTGTGGGGGCAAACATACTCTCTGGTTATATTATATGCTGGTATATGTTTTGTTGTCCCAGTGCCTCGTCGGGTCATCAATATTATTATTATTATTATTTTTTTTTTTAATGTTTTGGGGAAAGTTTTGATTATATGATTTTCTTTTGTATAAATGAAATTCTTGTCATAGGTATGTATGACCATTTTGGATCTACATCAATGTTTGTTTTTATTTAGGAGAAATATTTCAATATCATAAAGGAAATACATAATAATGCGGGAGATTCTTATAATAAAAAACAAAATGTGCAAACATGTAATCAAATTAAATAGGTCATTCGAAAAAACTAAACGCCGTATATGTGACAATTTTATAAAAATTCGACAAGGTTATGAATTCACTGAGTAAAGATATTGTTAACCATCATCCGGATTAATGACGTCATTAACATGTATTTTGATAGGACCGATAAACTATTATCTTTACATATAATGATTATTATTTTATTTATTTCAACTTAATCAACAATATCAAGACATTTGATGATTTTTAGAATATAAAAATGTACCTAGATTTTTGGTCATAAAAATGATTACATTTGTTATAACAATGTTTACTTATTTTTCTATTCAAATAGTTTAAATGATCATCGACGTCGTAAGTTTTATAATTAATAATAAATGATATATTTAAAAAAATCATGTCAGATTTAAGGTGTAGTTTAGGAGTAGGTTAGATTTGCCGTTTCAAAAATAGAAACGTTAGTCTAACTGTTAAAAAAACAAAAATTAACTTATAAACTATTTCTTATGTCATTACCAAAAGAAGAAAACATATATTCTTTAAAACAACATAAAAAGAAAAAATATATCTTTTAGAAGATATGATGAAATAAAAGTCTCTTTTAACATTTTTTTAAATCTTAAAAGTATAACAAGTACTTTGTTATCTCATAATATATATTTTCATTTTGCATAGTTTTGATTCAAAATTACATTTTCATTTAGTAATTATTATAAGATAATGATAGTAGCAAAAATGACAAGATTATATTTACAGATCGATTAAGAAACTAGCTGCTACCTAATAATAGTTGATAAAAATGATGTTATGTAACTAAAAACTAACTGATAATTTATTTGTTAAATGGAAATGATATAAACAAAAATTCAAAATTCAGAAAAAAAAAGATTTATTATTATAAGAGAAATATCTAATACACATGAGAGAATTTTTTATAATTATTCAAATATGCAAACACATAATCAAATTAAATAAGTCATTTGAAGCATCGCATATTATACAATTTTATGAAAATATGATAGCTTATGAATTCACTAATTAGACATGTCAGTTAATCTGGATAAATAATGTCACTAATTATAGATGTCGTTAACCTTAAAGCATCGCATATTAGACATGCTTATAAAAAAATACTATCTTTATATATTTTATATATAATGATTATTCTTTTATTTATATCAACTTCAATAAATAATATAAATATATTTTATGAATTTTAGAATATAGAAGATATTTAGACTTTTAGGAACAATCATGAAAATGATTACAATTGTTATTTAATGTTTTAATTATTTCATATTCAAATAGTTTTATATCATCAATTAAGATAGGTAATGATTTTTTATATTAATAAACGATATATTATTCTTTTTAAAGAACTTAATAAAATTTATAAACTCGTTTCAATGATATATTTAAAAAAAAAAAAAAGTTAGAATGCGGAATATAACCTTATTCGAAAAATGTCGTTACAAAAACTATAATTATATTATGTTGAAAATCAAAGTTGGCATCTTGATTCACGAATGTTACCCGCCTCTTGGCTTTTTCAAAATTAGGAGCAGAGCACTGAACAGCAGTGTCGATTTTCAGAATGCCAAATGATAGAGAACCGATGGAAGGAGGAGGTAGCTCGGAGATGGAGTTCGCCGACCTCGAAGTTGCGGCGGACTATATCGACGCCTCTGTGATGTTTCTGATGGGTTTTGAGCATTCTAACACTTCCTAAGTGTACATGCAACCCTAATAACCTTGGATCTATGTTTGTCTAATTTTCATGCAAAGTTGATTTCCAAGGTTATGATTCTATCTAGCATACATGGGGAACAATTTTAACTTGAATGAAAGATAGAACTACATACCTTGTTGTTGATTTTGATCCTTGAAACCTTGTGAGCCTAGCACCCCAAGTGTGATGCCTCAAATGCTTCACACAACACCAAATGCTATGGAGTAAACTTGGAGAGAAAGTATAACACTCTAAAATCGGCTCTAGCCCTCAAGTATGCTTTTTCTTCCGATTTTGGGAGAACCATGAGCTTTATATAGTGTTGACACATCAAGGGTTACCTAATGTGTCATGACTCTTCATTTCCATGACCTTTCATTTCCATGACTCTTCATTTCCATGACTCTTCATTTCCATGACCCATGGGTTTATAACTCCCATGGAGCCTCCATGGAGCATCCAATGGGTTTAACCCAACTTGATTATCCATGGAGCCTCTTAGCCCACTATATAAGTTATGGATGATTTACATAATCAACCCATATATTTAATTAGTTATCTTTTGATCACTTAATTAATTCTAAATTAATTCTTGATCAAACTAATTAAATAATATTATTAATATATTAGAACTTATAATATATTAATAAACCACAAGTGTTATTTCTCTCATTTAGTCTATCCAATTACATGGTGCCATGCAACCCAAATGGACCATGCCGGGTCGGGTCAAGTACATACCAGAAATAGTTATGGACTTAGACACCTTATCCAACAGTCTCCCACTTGGATAAGTCTAATAACTATTTCTGCAAGTATGACTTCAGGAACCGATCGGCAATCGTAGCTCTTTTCAAGGTTTCTCGGAACTGAGAAGATGATGGTACGCCATTTCAGATAAGTGATCATAATCCTCTGTTCTAGATATCAGCCGGACAAATACATGGAACAATGTCTTACTTTTGTCCAGCAGTTTGTTTCCCGATTTCCGATTTGTTTGACATAGAACTTAATTGAACATATCAACTTAGTTCTGACCGGGCCCGATACATGGGTCAAAACAAAATCATCGAGGGGCCCAGATATCAGCTTCTAATCCAAGAAGGAACAGATAAACTTCGACTCATATGCTTGTCCTACTACTTGTTAAATCACACACAAACGCGCGTTTTATAACATCGAGTTACCAATGCGTTTTCGCACGATCAATGTATGACTAACTCATAGTTAACAAGTCATATCTCTAGGTTTGAAGACTTATATGATATTACCGTCTCGCGATCACTCGAGATAAATTCCATGAAGTGATACCAGCGAGCGTGGGTTGAATCCAATACTCAGAACTTATGAGCACTCATGAGTGTTGAGGCCATGTCCAACATCTTAGACCTCTACAACCAACTCATGACAGTCTTACTTCATATCTACTTCCAACATATGACTGACTGTGGATAATTTGAATAATATGTAAAAATACAACATAAATATTCGGGAAGTCAAAACATGCAAAAGAAATAATAGTAAACGATTGACAAGAGATAGCAACACTTTACCCATAAATAAACACAACTTTTATTCATCATCAAATGTCAATTACACTTTACATATTTCAAAAATTATCTAACTACTAAAACTAATATCATCCTTCAGCCCTATGCTCTTAGCATGCTGGAGATGCTTAACCCTACCTAGTCCCTTCGTGAGGGGATCTGCCGGGTTCTCATCCGATGATACCCTCTTTGCCACGAGGAGTCCTTCTTCTATACGATGTCTGATGAAATGGTATTTTCTGTCAATGTGTCTGGATCTCCCATGATCCCTTGGTTCCTTTGCTAAGGAAACTGCGCTTTCACTATCACAGAAAATCTCCATTGGCTCTTTAATAGTTGGTACAACTCCAAGGTCTCCAGTGAAGTTCTTTAGCCATATAGCCTCCTTTGCTGCCTCACTTGCCGCTATATACTCTGATTCACAAGTCGAATCAGCCATTGTCTCATGCTTGGAACTTTTCCAAGAGATTGCTCCTCCATTTAAGGTAAAGACCCAGCCTGATTGAGAGCGGAAATTATCCCTATCAGTCTGGAATCTAGCATCACTATACCCTACAACTCTCAAGTCATTACTCCCACCAAAGGTAAGGACCTAGTTCTTAGTCCTCCGCAGGTACTTGAGAATATTCTTTACCGCTGTCCAGTGAGCCTTACCAGGGTTCCCCTGATACCTGCTAACCATGCTCAAAGCAAAGGCTACATCAGGACGAGTGCAGGTCATAGCATACATGATCGAGCCTACTGCCGAAGCATAAGGTACTCGACTCATTTCTGCTATCTCAACCTCTGTACTCGGGGTATGAGTCTTACTCAGTCTAGCGTTACTCTGGATGGGTAACTCTCCTTTCTTGGAATCTTGCATGCTGAATCTCTTCAGCACCTTCTCCAAGTATGTACTCTGACTAAGTCCAATTAGTCTTTTACTCCGGTCTCTCAGAATCCTTATCCCTAGAATATAGGCAGCTTCTCCAAGGTCCTTCATAGCGAAACACTTCCCAAGCCAGGACTTAACTTCCTGCAAGGTTGGGATGTCATTTCCTATGAGTAGTATGTCATCCACATACAGTACCAAAAAGCTAACTATACTCCCACTAGCCTTGACATATACACAAGATTCATCTTCACTCCTCGAAAAGCCAAACTTTTTGACTTTCTCATCAAAGCAAAGATTCCATCTGCGAGGTGCTTGCTTTAATCCATAGATGGATTTCTCAAGCTTACACACTCTATTAGGGTACTCTGTGCTGACAAAACCCTCTGGCTGGTTCATGTAAACATCCTCAGCCAACTTCCCATTGAGGAAAGCGGTTTTGACATCCATTTGCCATATTTCATAGTCATGAAATGCAGCTATGGCTAACAGTACTCTAATAGACTTAATCTTGGCCACTGGTGAAAAGGTCTCATCATAATCAACTCCTGGAGTTTGAGAAAAGCCCTTTGCAACCAGTCGTGCCTTATAAGTGTGTACCTTATCATCCATGTCGGTCTTCTTCTTGAAGATCCACTTGCACCCAACTGTCTTACGACCTGGTACATTGTCAACCAAGTCCCAGACTTGATTGTCATACATGGACTGTATCTCGCTATCCATTGCCTCTTTCCATTTAGCAGACTCGGGGCCTGCCATGGCTTCCGTATAGCTGTTAGGTTCATCCAGACTTACCAGTGTCTCATCACTGATAAGTGTCTCACCTTCCGCAGTAATATGGAAACCATAGTAATGCTCAGGTGCATTTCTAACCCTTGTGGAACGCCTTAGAGGTACGGATTCATCAATTGGATCAACAGGAGTTTCCTCCTCAAGTTGACTGCTAGGGTTTGAGGTTCCTTCACCACTTGACTCTTGAATTTCTTCAAGGTTAATTTGCCTCCCACTGTTTCCTTGGCTTATGAACTCTCTCTCTCGAAAGACAACCCTCCTTGCTACAAAGACCACATTCTCACTAGGTCTGTAGAAGAGGTAACCAAAGGATTTTTGTGGGTAGCCGATGAAAATACACCTCTCACTTCGAGGTTCGAGCTTGTCATGAGTCTCACGTCTCACGAAAGCCTCGCAACCCCAAATCTTGATGTGGGCTAGACTAGGAACTTTTCCAGTCCACATCTCGTGAGGTGTTTTGGCAACCTTCTTTGTAGGGACTAGATTAAGGATATGGGTGGTAGTCTCTAAGACATACCCCCAAAATGAGATTGGTAGCGTAGCTCGACTCATCATGGAACGAACCATGTCCAACAAGGTTCGATTACGCCTCTCAGCTACACCATTCAACTGTGGTGTCCTGGGAGGTGTCAATTGTGAGACTACCCCACATTCCCTTAAATAGTCGAGGAACTCAGTACTAAGATACTCACCACCACGATCGGATCGAAGCATCTTAATGTTCCTGCCCAATTGATTCTCGACTTCCTGTTTAAACTCTTTAAACCTTTCAAAAGTCTCTGACTTATGCTTGATTAAGTAGACATATCCATATCTACTATAATCATTTGTAAAAGTCACATAATAACGATTAGCATCCCTTGTGGGATGTTTGAAGGGTCCACACACATCTGTGTGTATGAGATCCAACAAACCTTCACCTCTCTCACAAGAACCTGTGAAGGGTGACTTTGTCATTTTTCCAAGTAAGCATGATTCACAACTATCATCTGATTTTAGGTCAAATGATTCCAAAACACCATCCTTTTGGAGTTGGCCTATGCGTTTCTTGCATATATGTCCAAGACGACAATGCCATAATGATGCTTTATCCAAGTTATTATCATTAGAATCAATACACAACACATTATTTCCTAAGTTATTTACAACAGACACAGCTTCATACACACCATCACAAGGTAATGCTTTAAAATAAAACACATTATTAAAGAAAGCATTTATTCCACCATTTTCATTATCAAAGGAAAAGGTAAAACCTTGTTTATACAAAGCATGAAAGGAAATAACATTTCTTGCCATTTCTGGCGAATAACAACATTTATTCAAATCTAAAGTAAATCCACTACTAAGCAACAAAGTATAAACTCCAATCTTGGTGACAGGTGAAACTTTCCTATTCCCCATAATCAAGTTTATCTTTCCATGCTCCACATTCTCACTTCTTCTTAGTCCCTGCAATTCAGAACAAAGATGAATACCGCAACCGGTATCAAGGACCCAAGAGTTAGAATAGAGTGAATTATTAGATAAGATAGTGTAAATACCTGCATGGTTGGGTTTCACTTTCCCATCCTTCAAATATTGCTGGTACTTTGGACAGTTACGCTTCCAGTGCGCCTTTTCGTGGCAGTAGAAGCATTCAACCTCTTTGGGATCAGAAGAAGGTGTAACGAAACCTTTCTTGGTTCCGCTAGAAGAGGATCCATCAAGAGTCTTACCCTTGGTACCCTTCGAAGGGTTCTTCCTCTTCTTCCCTCTACATTTCCCGATTGCCAGGACAGGTGTTGAGTTTGGAGTAGTAGTAGGAGTGGTCACAACCGACTTACCTTTAAGACCTGATTCTGCGGTCTTTAGGAGTCCTTGAAGTTTGCTAAGTGTAACTTCCTCCTTGTTCATGTGGTATGTCATGCGGAATTGATCATAACACGAAGGTAAGGAGTGCAAAATAATATCTATTGCTAACTCCTCAGGGAAGTTCACATTCAACTTCATCAATCGGTCCACATACCTTTGCATTTTCTGCATGTGGCTTGTGATGGGTTCACCATCTTTCATCCGGGTTGTGATCATAGAGGAGATGATTTCATATCGCTCTTGACGAGCACTCTGATGGTAGCGGTCCATCAAATCCTGGTGCATCTCAAAAGGATAGTAGTCCTCATAGGACTTTTGGAGCTCGGCTGTCATAGTGGCCATCATGATGCATGCCACTTTGGTAGCATCTCTTTCATGTGCCTCATATTCAACAAACTCCTCAGGAGTAGCAGTTGGCTCAGGTACCTTAAGCTCCTTATCGAGAACATATTCCTTGTTCTCGTATCGAGTGACCATCCTGATGTTTCTGATCCAGTCAGTAAAGTTGGATCCATCAAAGATGACTCTCCCACAAAGGTTCATGAGACAGAAGGAGCCAGTAGGGTTTGAACCAGGAGTGGCAGTGTTGGAAGACATCTGAAAAGAAGAAAACAAGTTTAGTTTAGATATAGGGATGATCCTTAATAAAACATCCAAATGTAATATTAAGGCTAGGATCCAATCACAATATATTATAACTTAGAAGAGGGATGTCGTAATCCAAGCTATAACATATTTGAAAGGTAAGTGAATGACGATTCACCAATTTCCACCATGAAAACGAAATATGAATTATTAGGTTTTATTTGGTTTTTAAGAAATTCCTAGATTCTTTTGAGATTCATTGAACTTTTCAATGGCATGTTTCAATCTCGAGTGTGCCCTTCATGTTTTGTGACTGGGATACCGAGGATCACAAAACAAGGTGTGAAGTAACCATGCAAATTACTTGGTACCCTTAATGTTTTTCACTTAATCGATGTGCCGGTAAACCACACGCGCTCCACCGACCCTATGGAAAACCTTAAGTCACCCTTTGCCTACCTTGTTAAGTCCAAGTTAGTGTGCCGGTAAACCACACACGCTCCACCAACGACTTAAACAAAGTGCAAAGTGTAATTTCATGGATTAGCACCTTATTCACTTTTTTCCTAAAGTAACTAAGATTGGGAATTTAATAAAACATTTAGTTACTTTATAATATTCATCATACTTTTAATGAGAATTTATAAGTCATTGTCCTACCCGTTCGGCTAACGACCCTCCACCAGTCAAGGAAGCGGTGGGTGAGAGTGGACACCCATTAAGTTGGCATTTTATAGGCAACAACCTTATACCCCCCTTATAGACCGACTTCGTGAATGAGGCGTACTAGCGGTAAGACGACTTGATCTTATACATATATATATTATTAACTTATAATATAAAGTATAAGGGTTGAATTTTAACTTTTAAAATTCTAAGGGTTGGAACTAAAGTTTAAATATGACTTTACTTGTTCCAAAACTTGAGGGCAAGTTTTGTAAACTTTCAAAACTTTTCATTTCTCATAACTTATGAATTTTAAAATGTTATAGTTTAATGAATGTGAGTCCAATTAAAGCCCAAATGGAGTTCCTTGGCCCAAAATAGCTAAATTGAAAGTTTACTAGCCCATTAGGCCCAATAAGATGACCCAAATCCATTCTGAGTTTGAACCGGGATATTAGGGTTTCAAACCTACAGTTGAGTATATGAGATGTATTGAGTTAGATTTTGAACTTCACGAGTGAGTTTTTAGTTCAAATGGTTGATTTTGAATGAGCATAGAGCATAATATCAACTTAAAGTTACAAATTACACAAAAGTTGAGTACATGAGGACAAAATTTCCTAGCCAAAAATGCTAGTTGTGACATAATGTCCCCAAGGGCATTGCCAACATCCATTATAAAGAGAGGTTTTGAAAATATGGTGTTCGACATGGAAGGTGGTGGTTTGTATGAATGTTTATCCTCAAAAGCCTTCGTGGTATCACCCCCAAATGGAGCAAGCCCTGAGGAACAAAAAACTTTCAATGCTGCTGTAAAATGTCCATCGACAACCTTACAAAGACATTGTCTGATATTAGTGTTGCCTAGTGTTCTTTCTTCCTGAATGTACTCTTCTTTTTTGCCTTGTTGTTCCGGTCTTGCATTGCAAACACATAATCAAATTAAATAAGTCATTTGAAGCATAGCATATTATACAATTTTATGAAAATATGGTAGGTTATGAATTCATTGATTAGACATGTCGTTAACCTGGATCAATAATGTCACCTTTATATATTTTGATAATTGACATGCTTATAAAAATACTATCTTTATATATTTTATATATAATGATTATTATTTTATTTATATTAATTTCAGTAAATAATATAAATATATTTTGTGAATTTTAGAATATAGAAGATATTTAGATTTTTAGGAACAATCATGAAAATGATTACAATTATTATAGAAGATATTTAGATTTTTAGGAACAATCATGAAAATGATTACAATTATTATTTAAGGTTTTAATTATTTCCTATTCAAATAGTTTAAATTATCATAATTAAGATAAGTAATGATTTTTTATAATTAATAAACGATATATTAGTTCTTTTTAAAGAACTTTTTAAATTTTATAAACTCGTTTCAAAAAAAGTTAAAATGCCGAATATAACCTTATTCTAAAAATGCGGTTACAAAAACTATAGTATTATGTTGAAAATCAAAGCTTGATCTTGATTCACGAATGTTTACCCGCCTCTTGGCTTTTTTCAAAATTAGGAGCAGAGCACTGAGCACGCAAGTGTCGATTTTCAGAATGCCAAATGATAGAGAACCGATGGAAGGAGGAGGTAGCTCGGAGATGGAGTTCGCCGACCTCGAAGTTGCGGCGGACTCTATCGACGCCTCTGTGATGTTTCATCTCGTTATGGACATCCTAGGGTTTGTTCTTTACATGCACCAACAGATCCCTTCGTAAGTTCCATATCAGTTCTACTTTCCTTATCACATATCAGATTTTATTTCATGATTTCTGACATTTGATTGAGTTGCTGAACATCCGTGCTTGAATAACCTGAATATTGAGATTATATGTTAGGCATGTGTCTCTGGAAGTCGAAAATTAGACGTATGTGTGAAAGGATAATGTATCTCGACTCTTATTTGCATAATTTAAGGAAGATTATCTGTTATGAGAGTAATTTGTCCTGAATTTTGTAATTGGTCGTGTGGAGCTTCAACAATGTGAATATTTCTGGTTCCAGTTCCATCTCTATTTTGCAACTTTATGACTGCAATAATCTTGTTTCAACTGTTCTCTCTCAAGTTGGAAGAAACAAAGTGATATGTTTTAGGTATCAGCTCGTTACTAGGACCTGTGAAAAAAGACAAAGAAAGCTGATAGTTTCTCAAGTATAAGCTTCCTGTTTATATTAGATTAAAAAGAAAAGTTAAAAAGTTAATTCTCTCTTTCTCCACTCACATCAAATAGGACTTTTGAAGCATGAAAAAACGTTCTTTTGCTTGCTTGAAGCTGTATGAAGGAAAATCATGATGATTCTTGTTACAACTGCACTTGTTTTAATCTGTTAGTTACTATAAATTCAATCTTCAGTTCCTATTAAACTTGTAATGGTGCTCTTTTGTATGCTAGAAATGGTCAACCTTTATACCTTTTTTCTTTGCAGGATCTTACAAGATGTCAATCTTGAGTTTGATGCACTGCATACAGAGTATAAAGATCTGGTATGCTAAGCTTGCACAGTTTTCTTAAAGATGATGATTTCATTTTGGGGACCTTTTAAAAATTCCTTTTCAGGAGGTAGTTCTTGCAGAGACAGAAATGAAAGCGTCTCAACGAAGAGTTCAAAATGGAAGAAAGAGAGAAGTGAAACATGGCATAAAAAGGCTCCAAAAGCTGATGAACAATATCAGTAATGCCCAAACTGCCCTCAAACTGGTATTCAGTGAGATCCCACATGTTGAGGCTGTCATTTTGGTTCTTGGAGGTAGTCCTGCTCGACCTCAACATGTATATGAGCTCTGCTTTTCACATGGACAGGATACCCCCCTCTCTGATGCTTGTGATTTTACCAAAACTAAAGCAGCAGAAGGGATTTCTAGAAAGGTTTGTTATCTCAGCTCCATATAATATATTCCCAGCATTCTAGGGGCTAATATAGTAATATTTCACCTTTGCAACAGGCCATCAGGACACTTGTATCCAGAGGTGCTGGATCTGCTTCTTATGGAGGTATTTTTTGATCAGCTTTTGTCATAAACAAAAAAAAAAAACTTGAGTTTCTTGGAAATGGTGAGAGTTGAAGCTTTGCCATTTTTAGGCCCTTCCAAGTTGTTCCTGTTGGTCAAAGCTCATTCTTCTTTCAATATGCCTCTGCATTTTCTACCCAAACGTGACTTTAGATACAATAAAAAGGTAATTTTTCATAAAGAAGCATGCAGATCATATTTTATACTCCTCTGTCTGTGAGATCTTTGCTGACTACACCTACAAGGCTACAAGTATAAAATATTGCTCTTCATTTGCAGGTAGTGCCTATGAGATTAAGAATCAAGTGTAGAAACCAAGATTATGAGATTCCTGCTCTAAGTTCTGACCCTCAACCTGCAGACTCTAATAATATGATGCCTTCTACTTCAAATGATTACATCTGGTAATACTCCTTTCAAATTGAAATTTATTAGTTGATTATAATTGTCTTCATTTTTGGGAGGTGGGGGGGGGGGGGGGGGGGGGGGGGGGAAATATTTAATATATGCTTTTATAGAAATACTTTAAACATCTTTACTAACTACAAGTATCTTCTCGTTACTTTTTCCAAATGAAAAAAAAAAATGTTTTTACTTTTTATTGTAGGTTTCAATGTCGGCATGTTATCAAGGGTTTGGTTTGCAAGACATCACCAGAAGAATGAACATTATGATTTATGATATGACAGAGGTTGATGTTGCCCACATTCTAAACAAAAGCAAACTTACTTCAAGAAACATGACATGGAACTAACAAAAGCAATCAATTCATTCAACTTCAAAACCACTGTTGTTGGGGTTGTTCTGAAGCTGAAGAACAACAGGTTTAGTATTCATCATATGTCTAAATCAGTAAATTGTAGCATGATATGATCTCCATAACCATTTGGCATCTTTGCTTATATCTTTCAAAGTGTAGACTTATTTCATGGTAAAAACAATGCATGGATATGCATAAATTGATGGCGTAATTGGTTTGCAAAATTCATTTATTTATTTTCCTTATATTCCCTCTTTAATGGATGTGATGTTTGATTAATTTTGTAAGTTGTATTAATCCAACCAATACTAGGGAAGTTATAGTTGTGTTTGTGGATCAAAATGATGTTTGTTTATTAAACATGGATATGTCTTTAAAAAAGGGCAAATAGCAGGAAATCACAATTTACTTTAATCATTTTACCTATACAAACAATGTACTTTACTTTTTACCATAATAGCAATATGTGAATTAGTTCTTTACTATAATAATACTAATGTACTTACTGATAATAGCATTGTGTACCAAATAAAGTATATTGCATACTTATTGGTAGTGAAATGTAACTAGGTTGTTATTATGGGTAAAAAATAAAAGTACTTTGTTATTTGTGAAAAAAAGAAAAAGAAAAAGATCTTTCTTTTATTGGTTTGTATAAAGAGACGTTCTCATGAACCAATTACCTCACCATGTCAATTAAAAAGATAGTATTTGGACATGTTTATTGTTCAAAGTTGTAATAATAAGCTGTTTGAGTGTTAAATAAATTTTTTGTTTAAGAAAATAACATATAAAATTACCAAAAATGACATTGTTGTGATAAAAAAATGAGGTTTCCTTGTAAAATTAGTGTAAACCCCTCTCAAATCAGGTTAAAGAATATGTGAATGATAATTTTATTTACCATTTGATAGACAATTATGTGAATGCTTAACAAATTCTGGCTATGCATGAAAATCATAGATAAAAATAATAATCTTGTTAGAAGATGAGAATATAGGGATTAATTAGTTCAAAAAATGTAAATAATATTTCATTATACTAGTATTTGACTATCATATTTGTAAGAAAATAATTATTTGATACCACACCCTTCCCAAACACAATCTAAAGCTTTGTTTGCTAAGTAATACATTACATACATTTATATTGTATTTTATATAAAATAGACCGAATCAATATTAATGTGACAAAATACAACATTTTATTTGAACGACTTTCTCATCCTCTTATTTGAAAATGCCTTAAAAGATTTGTTTAGTCTCATCCAATCTATTAATGTCTATCAAACAACTAATAAACATAGTCTAAAAAATAAATATTAAGTGTACAAAAATTAGAAAACATAATTTCAACCAATTTATTCGCATCCAGTGTCGTGTCTAATTTCTAAAAGAAAAAAAAAATAATATATATATATATATATATATATATATATATATATAAGCGTAAATTTTTATAGTTTGAGCGCAAGGTGTTCTTTTTGGGAAAAAAAAGATTGCGAATTTTTACATCTTTTGTGAAAATATTGTGGAAAAATAATATTATTTTTAGAGGAAAAATCAAGAAATTGACTAATATATATATATATATATATATATATATATATATATATATATATATATATATATATATATATATTAGTCATTTCTTGATTTTTCCTCTAAAAATAATATTATGTAAAAATTCGCAATCTTTTTTTTCCCAAAAAGAACACCTTGCGCTCAAACTATAAAAATTTACGCTTGCGGCTTCTCTTTCATTATCCCCTGGCGCCGTCAGACATTCTCAGTCCGTCGCCATTTCCGGCAATCTTCGTTTTCTCTCGCAGATCGCACTCTCAAACAGTCACAATAGAATCATTATCATATCAAAGAACACTAGTGTGAATATACGGGGAAGATGAAGTTCCAAATCGAAGATGTAACAGTCTACTTCCCCTACGATCACATATATCCCGAACAGTACTCCTACATGATCGAGCTCAAACGAGCCCTAGACGCCAAAGGCCATTGCCTCCTTGAAATGCCCACCGGTACCGGAAAAACCATCGCCCTTCTATCATTGATCACCAGCTACACTCTTTCTAAACCATCTAATCCCGTTAAACTACTCTACTGTACTCGCACGGTGCACGAAATGGAAAAAACCCTAGCCGAGCTCAAGCTCCTTCACAAGTACCAGCTCGAGAATATCGGTCCTTCTGCTCGGATGCTTGCCCTTGGGCTTTCGTCGAGAAAGAATTTGTGTATAAATCCCGATGTGGTTTCTGCGGAGAATCGGGATTCCGTTGATGCGGGATGTCGGAAACTTACCGCTAGTTGGGTTAGGGCGCTTGCTATTGAAAACCCTAATATTCCAACTTGTTCGTTCTTTGAGACCTACGAGAAGGCTGGCTCTGATGCTGTTTTGCCTCCTGGAGTGTATACTTTACAGGTTTGTAGTTTTTTTCATAAGAGATACAGGCATTTTCATAGTCCTGTGTGTCACTTATGTACTGAAATTGGAATAACTAAGCTAGTAATTTGCTAAGATTAAACATTGAATTACCTTTAACACATGAATGCACTGCAATGACGATATCTTAACCTTGGTGTGATTTGAGGATGTTATGATGATGATTTAAACTGGTGGCAGGATCTGAGGATGTTTGGGAAGGAGAAAGGGTGGTGCCCATACTTTCTAGCCCGCCACATGATCCAATTTGCAAATGTGGTGGTTTATAGCTACCAATACTTGCTTGATCCCAAAGTAGCTGGCTTCATATCAAAGGAGATGCAAAGAGAGTCTGTAGTCGTGTTTGATGAGGCTCACAATATTGATAATGTCTGCATTGAAGCCCTAAGTGTGAGTGTACGCAAACAAACACTTGAAGGGGCAACTAGAAACCTTAATAAAATGTCTCAAGAGATTGAAAGGTAATCCTTTTACAACTTCTAATCATTTAGGCAGCTCTCATTGATAATTGTTTTGTTTGATAATCTTTATTTTAACTTTGTTCAACTTGGTAGGAAGGTTTAAGGCCACTGATGCTGGTAGGTTGCGTGCTGAATACAACCGACTTGTTGATGGTTTAGCACAAAGAGGGAACTTACCCCGTATGTACACACCAACTTTTTTATACAACACTTTTCCATTTTTTCATTATAATTTTTTTTTAAATCTTGAGTTTTACAGTTGGTGACACGTGGCTTGCAAATCCTGCATTGCCTGATGATATCTTGAAGGAGGCAGTGCCTGGAAATATACGGAGAGCAGAGCATTTCTTGTCTGTTTTGCGCAGATTAGTGCAGTATTTGAAAGGGCGTTTGGATACTGACAATGTTGAAAAGGAGGGCCCACTTACATTTGTTAATGCTGTGAATTCACATGTTGGAATTGACCAAAAAATGCTGAAATTCTGCTATGATCGTCTGCATTCGCTTATGTTGACTTTGGAAATAACTGATACGGATGAATTTCTGCACATTCAAACAATTTGCGACTTTGCAACACTTGTGGGGACATACACCAGAGGGTTTTCAATCATAATTGAACCTTATGATGAGAGAATGCCCCATATTCCTGATCCAGTCTTGCAGGTATTTATACAAGTTTCCAACATCAGGAAATCAAATCTGTTACATCATAGTAAAGTACTTTTTTTTTTTTTTTTTTTTTTTTTTTTTTTCAGCTTAGCTGCCATGATGCTTCTCTTGCAATAAAGCCGGTGTTTGACAGATTTCAGTCGGTTGTGATCACATCTGGAACACTAAGCCCCATTGATCTGTATCCTCGGCTTCTTAATTTTAATCCAGTGGTTAGTAGGAGTTTTACCATGTCTTTGACAAGGGATTGCATATGCCCCATGGTTCTCACACGTGGAAGGTAAATTGATTGACAAATGTGTATATTTTGCTCGATTTCAGTTATTTATTACTTTTGTTGTGAATGACAGTGATCAGCTTCCAGTTAGCACAAAATTTGATTTGAGAAGTGACCCTGGAGTGGAAAGAAATTACGGAAGGCTTTTATTGGAGATGGTGTCAGTGGTTCCTGATGGAATTGTTTGTTTCTTTGTGAGTTACTCGTATATGGATGCCATTGTCAACAGTTGGAATGAAACAGGGATCTTGAAGGTACAAAACCCTCTTCTCTTTCAGTTATTGGTATTATTTGAAATTTGAAATTTATTATGATATGGTCCAGGAAATAATGCAACGTAAACTGGTGTTTATTGAGACACAAGATGTGGTTGAAACTACTTTAGCACTGGACAATTATCGTAAAGCCTGTGATTGCGGGAGAGGTGCTGTGTTTTTCTCTGTTGCTAGGTAACTGATAGACCCTTGTTGAATCTATCGTATACTCCAGGCATGCTAACAGATTCACAGCAACAAAACACTCAATAATACTAGAAAATTAGGATAGAATTCCCATTGATAATCAAACTATGAACTGATAAGATAGATTAGGGTTTTCCCATTCATTCGAGAGGAATGGACGAACAAAGTTCTTAACAATATAATTTCTTAGCTCCCTCATTCTACCTTCTAACTACCATATATACTACTACTAAAGAAAAGGACAAAAGGGAATAACAGCTTAGCGAGGTGATATCCCCACTAACGTTGTTTTCCACCTATGATTGGCTCTAGACTCACTAATAGGAAAATAAATAGATAAAAGACAGAAATACCCCTATGCTATAAACCAGTAAAGTTGGGGCTTATCAGTAACCTTCTCAACAACAGCATTCTACTTACATTACATTATTATTAACTATTAAGGAGGAATCATACTTAACTTTGTTCAATCTACCTAGTTAATAGTTATAGCATTATTGCAGTTTGAATCCATGTATGATTATTTGTATTGACAATGTTATGTTGCAGGGGAAAAGTTGCAGAAGGTATAGACTTTGACCGACATTATGGGAGACTTGTAATCATGTTTGGCATTCCTTTCCAGTACACATTAAGCAGGTGAGTAATCAAGATTAACTGAGGGGCTATGCTATAGTTAATACCCTATACAATACATATATATATATATATATATATATATATATATATATATATATATATATCATGTATCTTTTTGACTTAATAAGCCAAGATTATTAAGACACCAACCCTTTCCCAACATTCAAGTCAATGAATCTTGTGAAAATTTGTTTGTTGCATTTTATCAAAGGTAAAATGATCATTTAAACGGTTTATTCAATCTAGAAAAGAAATAGACCGTATGTATATATGCTCTAATAATAGAAACAAATGAAAGTAGGATATGCTATAATAAATGAAAGTGTGTTTGTAAATAAAAGGTGGGGGATTCTGATTGATATATCATATATGCGGTTGCAGGATATTACTTGCTCGGTTGGAGTACCTGCGAGAGACTTTTCAGATAAAAGAAGGGGACTTTTTGACTTTCGATGCATTGGTACCCTTTTTTTTTTTTTTCTTTTCTTTTCTTTTTGATGAATCTTGAATTGTTTGTAAGGAAAAAAAATATTGTGTACATCTAAACAGAGACAAGCTGCTCAATGTGTGGGACGAGTTATCCGTTCAAAGGCAGATTATGGAATGATGATATTTGCTGACAAGAGGTGGTTCCCTCCCTTGTTTTTTATAGTTAATTATTTATATTTATTTCTTCCATATTTTTTGATTTCATATATATATATATATATATATATATATATATATATATATATATATATATATATTATATATATATATATATATATATATATATATAAAAATGTAGATATACCCGACATGACAAACGGTCAAAATTGCCTGGGTGGATTCTGTCTCATCTGCGTGATGCCCACCTCAACTTGAGTACAGATATGGCTGTCCATATAGCAAGAGAGGTACACACACACACACACATCTTGTAGTTGCAGTTGTGGGCCCCCATTTATTTGTTACACAGGACGTAACATAACAGTACTTGCATTGGACTTGGATTGATATCAGTGAGACAAAAAATGGCCCAAAAAGACAGGAATGCCCTCCCCTCCTCCTTTGAAGTTATGGTGTATTTTAAATGCAGTTTTTGAGGAAAATGGCACAGCCTTATGATAAAACGGGTGGTAGTGGAAAGAAAACACTCCTCTCACAACAAGACTTGGAAAAGATGAATGGTACTGAAGGGATCATGTTCTGACTCTGAGTGTAACTGCAAAAACAAAAAAGTTTTGCCCACTTTATTGCCATCCGCTTTTCAAAGTCTCATTTTCTGTCTTTGTTGCTAATTTATTATTATTATTATGGATGGACTTCTCTTACATTTTTTGCTTTATCTAGTATTACTATCTACAATTTCTTCAACACAACACAACACAACACAACTCACCTCACATTAAGTTTTTCAAGATTCCTAATAAACCAAATTGCAAGGAAAAGTATACACTCGCTTCTAATTTATGATTTATACTATTACTATACTTTTTCAAAATCATCATCTTAAGATCCACTCTTCTTGATCCGTAGTGCTTCCATTTATTAAGGCTTCATTTCAACTTAAATTCTAAACTAAAATATGGACCCTAAACATTATGAAATTTTTTACAGTATCATTCCTAATCCTAGACCATTTAACCTTTCTTGATATTGCTCCCCCACATGTTGTTTCGAAGACCTGTGGTTGGTAACTTTAAAAAACTGTATCCATGATACCCTGGTGACTTGCTATAGCATTTTCACATGTTACATGACCTTTTTTTACAAATTTGTCCCAAGTTTTTTTTTTTATTATGAATTTAGTCCCAAACTTCTTTTTAAAAGTTGATTTTTACATATTCAACCTTAAACATTCTTATATACGCGTGCCCAATTGAGAAGGGCAATGTGAGTCTGGGACTTTGGATACAAGTGAAGTGAAGTGCCCTCGTTATGATTTAGGGTAATTCTGTTCCATCATATTCATAAGTCCCATCTTATTTATCCTGTGCATGGGAAAATTCTTTGGTGCACGATATATCTATATCCTCTTATCATCATTATCATTTATGCTTTTCTTCCTTTCATGTCTTCATAATCGAAGCCATGACTCCAACAACATAAAATGCAAGTCCGATTGATAGATAAGACATGTCAATTACCTATGAAGTTATTGTACATCATTATATTAATATTAAAAATCTGGCTTCATTGGGATGGGTGAGAAACCATACACTCTTCACAAACCATAAATATAGATGCTCTTGTCTCTGTGTGTGTGTAAGCCTCATCCCAATTCCTACACAAACTACTCTTCTAGGTCGAGTTAATGTGTTCTACGTGTCTTCTATGGAGCCATAGGGTTTCCAGAAGCATTAACAAACTTGTAAAAAAACCCTGTAAAGCCGAAAACGTTTTATTAAAACAAAGTAAAAAAAAAAAACTTGTAAACATAAAGTTGTAAAAGCAACTTATGAAAAAATATGTAAAATCTGATTTAAGGAAAAACATGTAAAAACGGATTTGGCAAAATGAAATTGTAAAAAAAAAAGTTGGCTGAATGAGAGAGGTAATTAGGTAAACTGTAAATCTGTTGTATCAGTTCACTACTTTACACATGTTCAGATTTTTGCACTTGTTTACGTTGTTTTGGGATGATATATATATATATATATATATATATATATATATATATATATATATATATATATATATATATATGGGAAAATGACTCTTGAGGGTAATTAACTTTTGCGTTTGTACTCATTTGGTCCCTTTTTTTTTGTATTCAATATACCATCGAACTTGTTGTTTGTGTTCACCATAACCCTTTTGACCGGCTTTTGACATGTGATAGCCGGTCAAAGGGTTATGGTGAACACAAACAACAAGTTCGATGATATATTGAGTACAAAAAAAGGAAAAGGACCAAATGAGAACAAATGCAACAGTTGGTTACCCTCCTGATTCATTTTCCCTTTACTCATTTACAGCAAATCTCACGTCATCTCCTAATGATATTAATGACTTTATGAGATTCATTCTTGCTTCTCTTCAAAACATAACCCACGAAAGAACATTATTCATACATGTACAACTTTGTAATGCACTTGAATATTTATTAGGGGAATCTTGACTAAGCAGACGCATTTCATGACTACATTTACATTTCCAATCAAATGATTTATCGTATCATGGATTCTAGACAAGTCTACAAACGAGTGGAATCACAAGTGCTGTGATTTTTGAGTTTACTTAGCTTTAAGATTGAATTCATGGGATAAGATACAACATCAATATGTACAATATCATGCTGCTTTTGTAGACACATCACCATAATATACCTTGAGGTAAACGTTTATGCTGATAAATATACCTCTCATACACAGTCATATCCTTTTGCAGAGAGGTGTTGACAGCTAACCACAGTAAGCATAACATAGACCATGATTAACAAGGTTACCCTTTTGAAACGCTCTTCATATACGTTATAGCCAAAGAAGGTTGCAGTCTTTGATAATTTTGCAACTTTAATTTCATTTAACTTTTCGGGGAAAATGACGCAGAAGGGTAACCAACTGTTGAGTTCGTTCTCATTTGGTCCCTTTCCTTTTTTTGTACTCAATATACCATCGAACTTGTTGTTTGTATTCACCATAACCCTTTGACCGGCTATCACAGGTCAAAAGCCAGTCAAAAGGGTTATGGTGAACGCAAACAACAAATTCGATGGTATATTGAATACAAAAAAAAGGAAAGAGACCAAATGAGTACAAACGCAAAAGTTAATTACCCTCAAGAGTTATATATATATATATATATATATATATATATATATATATATATATATATAATTGCATGCTAAATGAGTCATTTAATGCTTTAAATAAAAGGTTATAAATCATGTTTTATTTTTTTCATGTGTAATGGTAATTTAACACATGGGATGATTATAAGTCCAACTCCAGCATGGCTAGGCTAGGCTAGATATAATGGTATGAATTAGCCATTGTGACTACTTAGTTTGTGGTGCTTATTGGCTTATGATGATGGATGTGCCAAGTGCACTCATGGGACTATCTTATCCCTAGTTGAATATTTATTCATGTAAGGGTTTGTGGTGCAAATTAATGTTGTGTCAAACCCTAAAAGGAATGTTGACGTTTGCACTTACCTATGTTCCATTCCATATCTCTCAAGAAATGGCCTTCTATATATATATATATATATATATATATATATATATATATATATATATATATATATATATAGATATATCTATATATATATATATACGTGTATCTATCTCAAAAGAAAATGAAACCCAACCAAGAGAAAGGGGGTAAAATTAAGAGTAATGAGCACCAAAATAGACAACGTTCACATTTCCATCAGAAATGAAACTTCTCCTACTCCTAGCCACACAAAGCAAAAGAAAGCTTGTTTCTTTTCAACTCTGTTTTCTCCTATACTACCCACAATATGTGAACATGACATAAAAAAACTCATTCACAGCTTCAAGGTTGGATTTGCCTTGTTCTTGGTTTCACTTCTGTATATCCTTGATCCACTATTTGAGCAAGTTGGGGAAAATGCAATGTGGGCTATCATGACTATTGAGGTTATCTTTGACTTCTTTGGAGGTTTGTTATAATGGAATTATTCTACAACTATATATTAATTTTAGAATTTAGTTTGATCAATACATATATATATATATATATATATATATATATATATATATATATATATATATATATATATATATATCCCAGGTGCCACATTAAGCAAAGGGTTACTTCGTGGAATTGGAACTCTACTTGGTGGTGGACTCGGGTGTTTGGCATCAACTTTGGCAAGTGATCTGGGAAAGATAGAATACACTATAGTTGTTGGCACTTTAATATTTGTTTTTGGCAAGTATTTTCCAAAACTTGTTGAATAAATATTCATCTACTTCCTATATTTGTCTGATCTATGTCATGAAGCATGTTAATGAATGAAAGATATTGTATAATGGATTATAGGTGCCATGGCAACATACTGTCGACTTATTCCAAGCATAAACAAAAGATATGATTATGGGGTTACAATCTTTATCCTTACCTTTAACCTTGTAGCAGCATCAAGCTTGCATGGTGATCATCAAGTCATGGAATTAGCCCACCATCGTCTTTCAGCAGTTGCCATGGGTTTTTCTGTCTGTATATTCATCAGCTTACTTGTATTTCCCATGTGGGCTACTGATGAACTTCATCAACTCACCTCCTCCAAGTTTAAACAACTAGCTTCCTGCATTGAAGGTACTTACTTACAAGTTACACCCATGAAAAACCATACACGACGTTCTTTTAGTAGGATCTAATGTAAACTTATCAATGATGAATTCTAGAATGCATGGAAGCATTCTTGGTAGTTGGTGAAAAGGAAAGTCGCCCAATCATTCATGTCAGCAGTTGCAACTCAGTTTTGCACTCAAACTCAAGTGATGAATCACTGGTGATATCTCTTATCCATATCAAACTTAAATACCATGCACCAAATATCAAGTTTTTAAGTTGTTACAAGTCTTAAATTCACTTGTAAATTTCATAAACTAACCAAAATCCAAGACCTGTGGTGAAGTTATCATTATGAGCAGGTATTGAAATTCCATATAAGTTTCAGGTGAATTTTGCAAGGTGGGAACCTACACATGGAAGATTTTGGTTTTGTAATCCTTGGGAGAAACATCAACAGATAACAGAATTGCTGATGGAGTTTGCTTCTAACATTCTGTCACTTCAAGGGTGTCTTAAATCAGCATTACAGGTCCACAGTACTATCTACCAGGATCTAGCTTATGAATTATGACCAATGCAACAAATAAAGATAAAATCAGAGCACAAAAAGGTATTAAAATCACTCATTTCTCTACACAGCCCTCATCAATGCTGCTAGAAGTAATCAAAGAGCCATGCAAAAATGTTGGGCTGTTGCTTGGACTTACCATGCGAGAGCTAGGGGAAAACATCATGAACAAGAAAAGGAGCAATTTAGAGGTCGTAATAATGCCAGAATTGCAATCCATTAAACTAGAGTTGATCCTGCTTTCTACTTCAAAGCTAGGAGCAATTGAAAATGTTGAAGATCTTGCGATAGCAAATTTCTTGTTTCTGGTAATGGAGATGATCGATAAAGTGGAACTCCTAGCTAAAGAAGTCGAAGCACTTGGAAAGGTTGCTGGTTTTCAAACAAAATAGCTTATAAAGACTGTACTTGAATAATCGGATTGGTGCTCAGTGGTTGTGTATCAGGTATGAACAATATCCCCTTATAGATTAACTGATTACCATCCATAGTAACCTGTAACTATGTTCGGTGTAATTTTATCAAATTCATGGATTTCCACCGAATCCTCTTGAACTGTTTGATTGGACTAGTAATTTTACTTTTCGTTTGTGTAATAATGACGCCTCACCCTTTATAACATGTTCTTATGATACATTAACTGATTTCATCGAATATATAAATCAGTAAAACGAACGGCAAAGCATTATTAAGATCCCAAAACTTTAAGAAATTTGTAATACTGACCTTTCCATTGACGAATCGAATTTGCATCCACAACAGCGTGGTAATCTATTTGCATTTTTCGTTCATGAATCTGCAATTCAACCATAAAACTTTCGTAATTCAAAAGAAGGCCAAATATGACTATGTCCGGGAAGGCGGGAGAGGAATTCCAGCTGCCAGAATCGGTACATTTCGCTCCTCAATTTCAATTGCAGATATACAGTAATCGGGTAGGTATGATTTTTAAAATAAAAATTTATGGATTTAAAATTTCAAAGCTAGTTAACTTAGGGCGCGTTGGATCGGTACATTTCCCTTTTCAAATTTCTATTGGCATGTCTCTTTATTTTTGGGTTAAACAAGGGATAATGACTCAAAAGGTTCCTTTTATACATATTTTTTCTTTTAAATCAACTTTTAATTTTTTCAGAAAGTTAGAAAAGTCCAAAAGTTGTATGGTAAATGGAAAAAGACTTTTAAAATCAATTTTTACTAAAGCACAAAAACTAGCATTTGCAAAAGATCATTGACTTTTGTCTTTTTGAACTTTTGAGGCTGGAAAAGCAAAAAGGAATCCCAAACACTTTTTAAACAACATCTTTTGGAAAAACGTCTTTTACAAAAAGTCCTTTTACAAAAAGGACTTTTCCCTTCAAAAAGGAATAATATTTTTCTATTGAATTTGTTGAATCATTTAAAAAACATCCTTATAACCTGTAGTTGTAGGTTTAGCCGGTTTCCGGCATATGACAAAGCTCTGGTCATATATATATATATATATATATATATATATATATATATATATATATATATATATGGGAAAAGTGAATATACATTACAACACCACCTAAGCTTAGGTATTAAACCTCATGAAAATACGTTGTTTTACTATATAAAGATTACAATTAGAGGGTTCACGAATAACACTTTAAGATGTAGTTTCATGATGTACACAATAGTTTTGATAAGGAAGCAAGAATATTGATTATCTTCTTCCTTCGTGACGATGGAAAACAATACTGTTCACTAGGATGAAGTAACAAACGATAATGGAGGAAAGAAAACAAGGATGGTAAAATGATAATAGATGGAAGAAATGTTATTAGGGACAATATATTTACCAAGTGAAAACCAAATCGAGTATAATTACTAAGTTAAAACGATATATTTTATAGGTTTAGTACCTAAGCTTAGGTGGGACTGTGATGTATATTCTCTATCCCCTATATATATATATATATATATATATATATATTATATATATATATATATATATATATATATATATATATATATATATATATATATATATATATATAAGATAGGTTCATATGTTTTTCACAAGTATTGTGTTCCTGAATGCTCCAATCAAAAATTAGGAAATATTAAATATTTATTAAATTGTTAAAGGGTATAATAGTAATCTTTACCATATTTAAGTTTAGTAATTATTTAAAAAACATTTAATACCCTTTAAATAAGGATAATCAATTCAAAACCCTACCTTCACATTTGCATCTACGTTATTGCCGTTCTCCTCTGTTCGCGACTTCATCCCTCACCCCCGTTGCAACCTCCTTCTTTCTTACAGCTACCGACGTTGTCGTCATTTTCCCTGGAATAATGATCAGCGACTCATTACTCTACCCAATTTCTTCCTCCTCTTTCTCCACCGTCGGCCACTTCTACCTCTTTCTCGCCGCAATCATTTATCTCCTCTAAATTCCGATACCACCTATAGGTGATGGGTCTTCGTATATAAGAAGGTAAGGACACAAGAAATCGGCCAAATTTTTAACTTGTATTTAGTGTTGATTTCTCTTTTTTTTTCATTGTAATTTGAAGAACAGGAGGATTCCAAATTTCCAATTAGAAGAGGCGTTCCATAGTGCAGGTATCAAAATGAAGGTATGTTATTCTATTTATTCCAAATTTCCAATTAGCGTTTGAAAATGTTGGGTGGTTTAGTCGATGAGTAAAACCCCAATACATTTTTAGATAATGGTTATTAAACTAAAGAAATTAAGAATACTAAAATTAAAAGCATGGTCTGTATTGTTATCCAAACACACAAAAACAAGATCTGTAATAGTTAGTAAATATTATCTCGTGTAGTATAAAAAGAAGAATTTTATCAAATCATAAGTATATATTGAAAAGTTAATTCTTTTGTGTATTTTGTTTTGGATTTGGAATGCTAAAGCTTTCGTAAGTTAAGATGATAAATATTGTAGTGACTTTTTTAATCAATATATTAATTGTTTTTTGATGTGTAATGATTACTTGTCTTTGGAGTTTGTGTGTAATTCTTTATGCATACGTTCCTATATAATGGCTTAAGTATAATTAAAAAAACAATAAAGATTTGAATCATTCATGATCCAATGTGTTACTTATTATTCTTGTAGAATGGATCAATTACTATTAACTGATAATGTTGTTGCCCTGATTATTCTATCAGAATATATATGTCATTTTAAAATATTGTATGCATTCTGCCAAAATTTAAAATGACATATATATTCTGTCAGAATATTCTGCTAGAATAGATGAAAATTGCACTTTAGAGTTAATCATTCTTTTAGAATCTGTGTTTTCCTTTTTTGTAATTGATTTGCTATGATATTTTCTCAAAGAATGAACAGGTTCAGTAAACTCATTCTTAAAGAATATGATATTTTTTTTAACCATTCTTAGTTTTTGTTGCATTTGTGATAGGAATGGATTGAAGAATGGTTTGAAGACATGATATGAAAGGCTTGAAGAATGAATTAAAGATTGATTACACTCATATTTTAAGAATCTTGTTATTTTTTAAGAATTACACTTGTTATTCTTTCAGAATGTTGTTATTATTCAAGAATGTTCTTTGTATCACAATCATACAATGTAATTATTTGATATATTATTAGTGCAAGAAGACTTGTATTCTTTATAAAATGTTACTGTTGAATATAACCATATTCTGCAAGAATAAAATCAAATATATATTTACTAGTTTATGGTTGATTTTATGCCAATCTAACAGAATGAAATCGGATATTATTAAAAATTATATTAGAATTAAATTTGAATTAATTTAAAAAATTCAGATTTTTAAAAATAAGGGTATTAAATATTCCAAAAAATCTGGAAAATTCTTTTTTAATATAGGTTAATTGACCAAAACATCATTATGCTGAAATTTATGTGATTATATGGTACCATGTTACCCTATTTTAATATCATAGACCCCTAGATCATGACCATTGATTCTATTCCATCCGGTGGTCTAGATTTGTGCTTACGGGCACACAATAGATGTCAGGAACATTTGAACCTAGCCCATATATATATATATATATATATATATATATATTATATATATATATATATATATATATATATATATTCCAGATTCAAGTTCATCTTTAACCTTGATTTTTGGGTTTGAAAATCCTAACTCGAGTTCATCTTCAAGCTCGTCAAACCTTCAAGAACTCGCCAGATCTTCAAGCTCAATTTTGAGAAAACCTCCACATGTGAGTGTGTTCATCTTCAAGGAACCTAAAACACACAAAATCGATTTCTTCTTTGTTCTTGGAAATCGATTTCTGGGTTTGAAAACCCTAACTCGACTAAGGGTTGGTCTTGAGTTTGATTTTTCGTCTGTATGTGTTTCTGGAATACCATACCAATCCTCGAGTTTGTAAGCTTTAAAAAAATCGAAGGCGTGTGCATGTGTGTTCATCACGTGTATGTATTCATCTCCATCTGTGTTCGATTTCTGAAAAAAATAACTTACCCCAAATCTGAGTTTATGAGCATAATGTGGAAAGAATTCGAATTGCAGATGGATTCTTCTAAAATAAACTCGCAGTCTGGAGTTTTTCGTATGGATTTGTTCATTGTGTGTTTCAGATCTTTATCTAGTTCATCAGGGTTATTCATCATGTTCTTGAGGGCTTCTTCATATTTGAGTGTGTGTGTTTGTTCAGAACACGAACTCAGATCTGGATGTGTGTATGATTTTGTTTTTTGACAGATTTTTCATAAATGATGTAACATCCCAATTTTCAAGTCCAAAAATTTCTTTTTAATTAATTGACTCATAAAAACATTCATAAGAAAATACTATGGAAACACATCATCTCATAAAACCATGCATCATGTCTGAAGACCCAAGTCATAAAATCATAACATATCAGAGTACAATCCCAGAAAACTCCATGCGGAAATCATGTGTGTGTGTGATGCGATGCTACGCCGCCGACTCCTTCCCCTTAGACGAAGAGGTACCTGAAACCAAAACCGAACCGTAGGCATAAATGCTTAGTGAGTTCCCCCATCATACCACATACCATACAATATCCTCGGTGTCTTTCAACCGGTAATCATCGTCGATATCTTTCAACCGGTAATCATCATCGGTATCTTTCAACCGGTAATCATCACGTACTATACAATATCCTCGGTATCTTTCAACCGGTAATCATCGTCGGTATCTTTCAACCGGTAATCATCATCGGTATCTTTCAACCGGTAACTGTCATCGGTATCTTTCAACCGGTAACTGGGGACTATTCCACCCCCTACCACTAGCATACAACAACATGATATTAAACATACAGTCATGCATATCCGGGTACTGACCTACCCTTTGGTCTTAAGGACCGCTATCAGGGAAACCAATCCCTATCATACACGTACCTATCATACAAATAAAACTCATGACCAAAGCATGTAACCAGACCAAGATAATTATCACAAAGACAATCATCTTCCAAATACTCCTCTTTGGTGGGCCGACATTGTGGCCTTAGACCCACCCCTACGGGAAGGTAACTCAACCTCGTACAAGTAGCTGCTGATAATCTGTGGGGGAAAACCTCTGTTTGCTGCCGCTCCGGAAATCCTCCGGCTACAATCCCCACAAAACACTTAATCAGAGTCTGAAATCTATTCTTAGGGTAAAATGACCATTTTACCCCTGACCAAGTCCAAGTCAAAGTCAACTTCCAGTTGACCCGACTCGCCGAGTTGGGCCGTCAACTCGTCGAGTCCCTATCTCTTCAACTGTCCTCATCCACGATTCTACTCGTCGAGTTTAGCGACGACTCGACGAGTTCCTCTTCGATATGAACATCGAATGAAACTTCATCCGACTCGCCGAGTTGTATGAACACGCGTCGAGTTCACCTTCATCAGATGAACAAGTTCTAACCTTGACTCGCCGAGTTGTATGAACAACTCGTCGAGTTCATCTTCAATCATAAGGAGATTGCCTTGGACTCGCCGAGTCTGGTCTAGCACTCGTCGAGTCCCATGAACTCCAGGTCTAAACACTAAGTCCAATGCGTTGGGTCGCCCTTTCTGTCCTGCTACAACCCTTCTAACACCCAACTGAGTTCTTTGACCCTCAACAGATATGGGGCTCAAAGCCTTGGACTCGTCAAGTCCCAAGAACGGACTCGCCGAGTCGATAACATCCACACCCAAATCCTCGATTTCTGATGTACAAACACTTGACCAAATGATAGATCCAATCCCCTAAGCTCGATCTAGCACGTAAAGTTACGAACTTTACGTACATGCAGGGACTTTTGAGCCAAAAAGGCTTAAAATGGCTCTAGTGTTGCATGGGGCCTTCCTTGGGTGCAAAAGCACCCAAATCTGCCTTGTGACCCCTTTAAAGACCTGATTCCAAAGCCTCAACCCCCAACCATGTTTGCAATCATGGTTTGGTTACCAAAAATGGCTTATAAAAGCCCTAAATCTCCCCAAAAAGGGATTTATCAAATGAAAGAGCAAGGTACAGACTTTATACCTCTCAAAGACTGCAAATGATGAACCAAACTCGAATCCTTCAGTTCCCTCTTGATCCTTCTATGCTCTTCCTTCTTCCTTGTGAACAAAACCACCAAAATCACTCAAAAGCCTTAGATCTTGCACCAAAAAACACTTAGGGTTTGCTATGGAGGGTTTTGGGAGCATAAAGGGGCGACGGAGGCTGATAAGGTTTTGTTTTTAATAGGGTGGCAAACCCTCAGATTAGGGTTTTGTCCAGTCAGAGCCTACTCGTCGAGTCCGGGCCCCGAATCGACGAGACCATCACTTAAATCCCGCGCCTCATCCCCTTCTACTCGGCGAGTTGGTCCTTAACTCGCCGAGTCCAAGGTCAAAATGCAAAATACTTAAATAAAAAAATACAACCAGAACCAGTTTGCTGCAAATCTCCCCCACTTATTTTAGACTTCGTCCTCGAAGTCTGCTGCTCGATCCTGGAATAGCTCTGGGTAATGCTCCATCATCTCATCCATCGGCTCCCAAGTCCACTCCAAGCCCTTCCGGTGCTGCCATTGCACCTTCACTAGTTCCACCTTTTTGTTTCCTCAGATCCTTCGACTTCGGTCGAGGATCGCCACTGGCCGTCGCTCAATATATTCAGGCTGTCATCGACCTGAATATCCTCTAAGGGTACCACTGCTGAATCGTCACCAAGCACTTAACACACTGAGAGACGTGGAAAGTGTTGTGGATCTGGCTGAGTTCGGCTGGCAGATCCAGCCTATATGCCACCTTGCCCACCCGGGCTATAACCCTGAAGGTTCCAATATACCTGGGACCCAACTTGCCCCGTTTCCTGAATCGGATGACGCCCTTCCATGGCGACACCTTCAGAAGAACCATATCCCCGACCTGAAACTCCAGGTCCGATCGGCGCTTGTCGGCATAACTTTCTGCCGACTCTGAGCAGTCTGAAGTCTGCTCCGAACCTGTTGAATCTTTCTGTTGTCTTGAGCACCACTTCGGTGCTCCCCATGACCCTCTGGCCCAACCTCACCCCAACATATCGGGGTTCTGCACTTCCTCCCGTATAACATCTCGAAGGGAGGGAGGACGGTCGATACTCGTATGATAGCTATTATTTATACGAGAACTCCGCCAACGGAAGGTAGGTATCCCAGCTACCTCCGAAGTCTAAAAAACACATGCCCGCCATCATATCCTCTAATGTCTGGATGGTCCGCTCGATCTGACCATCCGTCTGCGGGTGAAAGGCGGTGCTAAAATGCAGACGAGTACCTAGTTCGTCATGAAACTTCTTCCAAAACCTGGAAGTGAACCGCACATCCTGTCTGAAATCACTGATACTGGCACCCGTGCCGCACCACGACCTCCCTGATATAGATATCGTCCAACCTTTCGGCCGAAATACTCTCCTGAATCGGGATAAAGTGGGGCTCTTGGTCAATCGATCGACGATGACCCAAATCGAATACACTCCCCGCGCGGTCCTGGGGAAGCTTTGTGATAAAATCCATCGTAATGTCTTCCCATTCAACACAACGGGATATCCAACGGCTGCATCTTGTCGTGTGGCCTCTGGTGCTCGGCCTTGACCTTCCTGCAGGTCAAGCACCGCTCCACATTACCATGCTACGTCCCGCTTCATGCAGGGCCACCAATAATCAGGACGAAAATCTCTATACATCTTCGTCGCTCCGGGATGGATAGAAAATCGGATTTGTGTGCCTCCTCCATCAGGGATTCTGGCGCACGCCTCCATGAAGGGGACCCACACCCTATGTGAAGAATCAATACCCTCGGCTATCTTTAGTCGAAGGAGGAAACCTGCCCCACAATCCGCTCGCTCTTCCGATGTTCCTCCTTCATGGCCACCTGCTGGGCCTCCCGAATCTGCTCCACAGCGGAGTCCACCACTGTCATCCTCAGACAAATATCCCTGATCGGCGCTACCTTGCGGCTAGGCG